GGGCCCCCTCCCCTTGGGGGGGGCCCCCCCATGAGGGGCCCCCTGGGGGGCCCCCCGCCCCCTGTGGGGCCCCCGTTTCCGCTGCCAGGCCCCTTCTCCTCTGGGGGGCTGCAGCAGCGGCAGCAGCGGCAGCAGCAGCAAAACTTTAAAAGACAAAGAGAGACAGAAGCTCTAGGGGGGCCCCCCTTGATGAGTCCTGAGAAGGGGCCCCCCTTTAAGAGACACCAGGGAAGGGGGGGCCCCCCGGGGGGCCCCCCAAACCCCACAGGGGGCCCCACAGCGCGCATGCTGGGCGAGCAGCAAAGAGGGCACCTCAAAGCTGCTGCTGCTGCTGCCCGCGACGGGTGGGTGCCTTGCTGCTGCTGCTGCTGCTGCTGCTGCTGCTGCTGGTGTTGTTGTTGCCTGGTTCATAAGTTCTCCCTCTCCCGCCGTCTGTTGCTGCTGCTGCTGCTGTTGCTGTTGCTGCTGCTGCTGCTTCTTGCTTCTTTTGTAGTGGCTGTGGGGCCTGAGTAGTCTGTTGCTGCTGCCAGACATTGCTGCTGCTGCTGCTGCCTCTGCTGCTGCTGCTTCAGACCCATGAGGCCTTCGCCCCAGGGCCCGCCAGGTGCCATGAGGGGGCCCCCTAGAGGGCCCCCAGGGGGCCCCCTTGGGGGCCCCCTGGGGGGCCCCCCTGGGGGCCCCCAAGGGGACCCTTCTGGGGGGCCCCGGCCATTTGTGGGGCCCCCCCATGGGCGCTCTCCTCTTTCGAGGGGCCCCCCATTTAATGCGCGAGGCAGCTGCTTTGAGGGGCCCCACACTGCAGCAGCAGCAGCAGCAGCAGCAGCAGCAGCGACAGCAGCAACAGCAGCAGCAACAGCAGCACAAGTTGTGGGCGGAGTCACAGTCCATGAGGTTTATACGTCTTCCAGCTCGCGGCCGCAGCTGCCCGACAGCCAAGTGCCTGCTGCTGCTGCTGCTGCTGCTGAGCGAGGGTTCCCACGAGCAGCAGCAGCAGCAGCAGCAGCAGCAGCAGCAGCAGGCAGGAGACCCCCACAGGGGCTGCGCCAAGGGGGCCCCCTCAGACCCTACGAGGGGGCCCCCGAGGGCCCCAGCTGGGAGCAGCAGGGGCCCTCTGGAGTGGACCATTTTGAGAGCACTCGCAGCCAGCAACAGCTGCAGCAGCAGCAGCAGCAGCAGCAGTGGGGGCAGCAGCAGTGGCAGGACAAGCAGCAAAAGCTGTGGCCGGAGAAGCGACAGCAGCAGCAGTGGCAAGAGCAGCAGCAGCAGCAGTGGTGGCCTGACAACAGGCAGCAGCAGCAGTGGCCTGAGCAGAAGCAGCAGCAGCAGTGGCGCGGGAACAGGAAGCAGCAGCAGCAGTGGCCTCAGCAGCAGCAGCAGCAGGAGTGGGGTGACGGGCGGTGGCGGCAGCAGCAGTGGCCTGACAGGCAGCAGCAGCAGCCGCAACAGCAGCAGCAGCAGTGGCCGGAGCAGCAGCAACAGTGGCCGGAGCAGCAGCAGCAGCAGCCGCAGTGGCTTCAGCAGCAGCCGCAGGCGCAGCAGAAGCACTGGCCTGAGAGAGAGCAGCAGCAGCAACAGCAGCCGTGGCTAGAACGACAGCAGCAGCAGCAGCAGCACAACCAGCAGCTCCAGAAGCAGCAGCAGTGGCCTGAGGCCCAGCGGCAGCAGCTGTGGCCAGAGCAGCAGCAGCAGCAGTGGCCTGAGCAGCACCAGCAAGTACAGCAGCAGCAGCAGTGGCCTCAGCAGCAGCAGCAGATGCAGCAGCAGCAGTGGCCTCAGCAGCAGCCACAGGTACAGCAGCAGCAGCAGTGGCCTCAGCAGCAGCCACAGACGCAGCAACAGCAGCAGTGGACTCAGCAGCAGCCAGCGGCGCAGCAGCAGCAGTGGCATGAACAGCCGCAGCAGCAGCTGCAGCAGTGGCCGGGGCAGCAGCAGCCGCAGCAGTTGCAGCAATGGCCTGAGCAGCAGCAGCAGCAGCTGCAGCAGCAGTGGCCTGAGCAGCAGCAGCAGCAGTGGTCTGACCAGAACCGACAGCAGCAACCGCAACTGTGGCAGGCGCAGCAGGAGCAGTGGCCGCAGCAGCAGCAGCAGCAGCAGCCGCAGCAGCAGCAGCAGCAGCAAGGTTACTGGCCGCAGCAGCAAGGTGTACAGACACCTCAACCCAGCAGTTTCGCCCCCAAGGCCGGACCCCCCGAGAGGCGGCGAGCAGCAGCAGAAAGGCAAAGGAACTCCCGGGGTGGAGGGCAGCAGCAGCAGCAGCAGCAGCAGCAGCAGCAGCAGCAGCAGCAGCCACGCAGGGGTTACAGACAGCAGCAGCAGCTGCTGCAGCAGCTGCGGCAGCAGCAGCAGCAGCTGCAGCAGCTGCAGCAGCAGCAGCTGCAGCTGCAGCAGCTGCAGCAGCAGCAGCTGCAGTCTTAAGCGTCGTTGCTTTCGTCTCCTGAGGATTCAGAAGAAGACAGCTCAGCAGCGTCTACTTCTCTCGCATCTACTGCAGCAGCTGCTGTTGCTGCTGTTGCTGCTGTTGCTGCTGCTGCTGCTGCTGCTGTTGCTGCTGCTGGGGAGTTCGAAATAGCCATCAGCCGCTGCACCGCCTGCTGCAGTGTTTCTGCTGCTCCTTGAGACATCTTCAGCAGCTGCTGCATGCAGCGGGGCTTCTCTCCCGTGCGCTCTCCGTACATCTGAGCAGCAGCAGCAGCAGCAGCAGCAGCAGCAACAGGAGCAGCAGCAGCAGCAACAGGAGCAGCAGCAGCAGCAGCAATATTAGTAACTGTAGACGGCACTGGCCGCTGCTACTTCTAAGTTGCTCCAGGGCTTCCTATTTTCTCTACGTTGGCGGTACTTCGCTTGCTAGTCCTGCTGCTGCTGCTGCTGCTGCTGCTGCTGCTGCTGCTGCCGCTGCTGCTGCTGCTGCTGCTGCTGCACACAGGAGGCACCCACCTGAAGAATACGCGCATGTCTCTTGAACCTGCGGGGGTCCCCTTTTAATACTGAGATGCCGTCTGCTGCTGCTGCTGCTGCTGCTGCTTGCCGCTGCAGCAGGCTGGCCTGCAGCAGCTGCTGCTGCTCTACGTTGCGCTGCACCTGGCACAAAGCTGTTGCTGCTGCTGCTTCCCCGCTGGTGCTGCTGCCGTGCTGCCGCAGCAACCCCAGGGGCGGCAGCAGCCTGCGGGCTTCTGGCTGCTGCAGCAGCACCACTTGGAGTCCCTCTAATGGCAGTGCCAGTCCTGCAGCAGCAGCAGCAGCAGCAGCAGCAGCAGCAGCCACAGCAGCAGCAAGAGCAGCTGTCTCGAAGCCGCGTCTGGCGGAGAAGCATGCGTAGAACTGCAGCAGCTATCACAGCAGCAGCAGCAGCAGCAACAGGAAGACCGCCAGGAGCGCCGCACCGCAGCAGCATGAGCAGCAGCAGCAGCAGCAGCAGCAGCAGCAAAAGCTTGCCTTGTCTCGGGGGTATGTGCGTTGCTGCTGCTGCTGTTGCTGCTTCCCAAACCCTAATCCCGTCAGCAGCAGAAGACACAACTCGCCCATCCCCCAGACTCACGCAGCCCCTAACAGCAGCAGAGTGGCCCTGCAGCACAGCAGCCCTGCTGCTGCTGCTGCTGCTGCTGCTGCTGCTGCTGCAGCTGCTGCTGCTGCTGACTGGGGGGCACACCCAGGCTTCTCGGAGGAGCGTCGCGCTGCCGCCGGTCCTGCCGCCGCCGCTGCTGCCGTAGCCGCTGCTGCTGCTGCTGCTGCTGCTGCTGCTGCTGCCAGCAGCAACAGCAATCTTGAGGATGTAGATGTTGGTGTCTGTACACCCCACAAAGGCCAAAACTGTGGGGCCCTGGCTGTCCACAGAAAGGCAAAGAGGAGCAGCAGGAAGCCGAAAGGCCTCCAGACACTCATCGGAGTCCGCGCCAAACACCTGCAGCAGCAGCAGCAGCAGCAGCAGCAGCAGCAGCAGCAGCAGCAGCAGCGGCAGTTTGCGGGAGTGAGGGGAGACGCGCTGGCCGCAGCCGCAACTGCAGCACGGGGCGACGGCAAGCGCTGCAGCGAAGTTCATAGCTCCTGTGGCAGCAGCAGCAGCAGCAGCAACAGCAGCAGCAGCAGCAGCAGCAGCAGCAGCAGCAGCTAACTCGGACGGTCCTGTCTGCTGCTGCAGTAACCAGCAGCCAAGAACCTGCAGAGCGGTGCAGCGCGGGGCCCTCGACAAATGCGCAGCAGCAAACAGCTTCTGTGTGTCCTTGCCAGCGCCGCCACGGCTTCGGGCTGCTGCTGCTGCTGCTGCTGCTGCTGCTGCTGCTGCTGCTGCTTTGGAAGGAAGCAGCGCCTCCCTTGTCAGCTCCGCTTGCACACAAGACGCTGCAGCAAACGCCCAACACTTGCAGGCAGCTAGCTAGCAGCACCCCACACGCTGCTGCTGCTGCTGCTGCTGTGGAAGGGCGAACAGGGCTAGGGTTTAGGGTTTAGGGTTTAGGGTTTAGGGTTTACTCGGCCAACTGGAAAGCCTTGAGGCTGCCGTCTTTGGCCGCAGAAATCAAAAGGCTGCGGTGTACATACACCCGACAAATGCTGCTGTCGTGGGCTTGCCAGCTGCGCAGCAAAGGAGAGAGTTTGTGCTGCAGCGCGCCTGCTGCTGCTGCTGCAGCAGGAGCAGCAGCAGCAGCACCCGCAGCCTGCTGCAGCACCCAACCCGGCAGCAGCCAAGCTGTCAATACACCCGAGTCGTCGCCGCCAAAGAGAAACGAGCCGCTCTTGTCGCACGCGATGCACCTCAACTGCAGCAGCAGCAGCAGCAGCAGCAGCAGCAACAGCAGCAACAGCAATAGCAGCAGCAGCAGCGGAAACGGCAGAAGTAGCAGCAGCAGCAGCAGCAGCAGCAGCAGCACCAGGCACGCGAGCAGCAAGACGGGCAGCTAGCCCGACAGATGTGGCAAACTGTGGCAGCAGCAGCAGCAGCAGCAGCAGCAGCAGCAGCAGCAGCAGCAGCAGCAGCAGCAGCAGCAGCAGCAGCAGCAGCAGCAGCA